ACCTCTGAGCTAAATTAGGCAACAATTTCCCGCCCAAGTAGTTTCCAATGCCTCTGGTAGATGGGGAAAGTATCAAGGTACCGAGGGTCGACCTCGTTGGCCCAACGGGGCTGATAGCACGCACCGTTACCGGTAGGGTATGGCGACAGTAGAAATTAAAGGGGGACGCACAATGGACCAATAACTGGTCTAAGTGCATGGGGAAACCCACCCCCTCTAATAATAATAATAATAATAATAATAATAATAATTTTGTAATAAACTAGTTCAGTACAGAAGGTGGTAGACATCCAGCAGTTCTCGCACCATAGCCAACAATGATCTATCGTGCATTCCAACATTTACTCCATCAATAACAGTCTTCCTTGAATATCTTTGGTACAAGAGGCCCCACCTAACTAACTAAATAACCAACCAACCAACCTACCTACCAACCAGCTGACTGATTACATAACCAACGAAGTATCAATGCAACATAAACCAACCTGAGGTAGTGTCCCAGCGCCCTGCCAGTGGAGCCCATGTCCCTCACGAGTTGCCTGTTGGTGGCGCAGACACTGTGCTGCACGCAACGCACCTGCTTGTCTTCCACTAGCAGCCAGTTCTTCTCATCCAGCTGAAACCGCAAATCATGTCCCTCGGTTTGTTCACCCAGCTGTTGAAATGTTCCTTCAGGTGGTGTGTATGTGTCTGGATCTAAGTTTGCAATTCATTTATACTGAATAAGCTAGCGGCCTCCGTAGTCTAGGGGTAACGTTCCCACCTCATGACTCTAGGTACGCGGGTTCAAACCCAGCGGAAGTCGTGGAATTTTTAAGGGCGGAAAAATTCAGGGAACAAGTCCTCCAGGAGGGACTTTAAGCCGTGTGTCCCGTGTCGTAGATTTACGGCACATAAAAGAACCTCATGTCTCTAGCAGACCTCTGAGCTAAATTACAGGCCCTTTCCCGCCCAAGTAGTCTCCAATGCCTCTGGTGGATGGGGGAAGCATCAAGGTACCAGGGGCCGACCTCGTTGGCTCTACGGGGGCTGATGGCACGCACCGTTACCGGTAGGGTATGGCGACAGTAGAAATTAAAAAGGGGGACGCACAATGGACCAATAACTGGTCTAAGTGCATGGGGAAACCCACCCCCTCTAATAATAATAATAATAATAATAATAATAATAATTTTGTAATAAACTAGTTCAGTACAGAAGGTGGTAGACATCCAGCAGTTCTCGCACCATAGCCAACAATGATCTATCGTGCATTCCAACATTTACTCCATCAATAACAGTCTTCCTTGAATATCTTTGGTACAAGAGGCCCCACCTAACTAACTAAATAACCAACCAACCAACCTACCTACCAACCAGCTGACTGATTACATAACCAACGAAGTATCAATGCAACATAAACCAACCTGAGGTAGTGTCCCAGCGCCCTGCCAGTGGAGCCCATGTCCCTCACGAGTTGCCTGTTGGTGGCGCAGACACTGTGCTGCACGCAGCGAACCTGCTTGTCTTCCACTAACAGCCAGTTCTTCTCATCCAGCTGAAACCGCAAATCATGTCCCTTGGTTTGTTCACCCAGCTGTTGAAATGTTCCTTCAGGTGGTGTGTATGTGTCTGGATCTAAGTTTGCAATTCATTTATACTGAATAAGCTAGCGGCCTCCGTAGTCTAGGGGTAACGTTCCCACCTCATGACTCTAGGTACGCGGGTTCAAACCCAGCGGAAGTCGTGGAATTTTTAAGGGCGGAAAAATTCAGGGAACAAGTCCACCAGGAGGGACTTTAAGCCGTGTGTCCCGTGTCGTAGATTTACGGCACATAAAAGAACCTCATGTCTCTAGAAGACCTCTGAGCTAAATTACNCATGGGGAAACCCATCCCCTCTCATAATACATATATACAATACATACATACTGAATAAGCTGTTATTATGCAAGGAATGGTTCTTCCTATGCTTAATTAAGCACCAGGCCTGATGAAGATGTATGGAGAAGTAGGGTGCATAGTTCCATGCTTTCTTCAACTTGACACTAGGTGGACGTGACAAATCAGCCTCATGTGCCTGCCAATTATCCCCAGAGAAAGAGACCCAGTAAGAGGTAAAGGTAAATTTGCTTCTGTACTTAATTAAGCATCACATCATGAAGACATTGAGGAATGAATTTACAGCTCTGTGCATTCTTAATCTCAGCCCTAGATTCAAGAAAATGATTTAGCTTCATGCCTTGGATGCTTTACCTCCAGATAAAGAGCCCCAAGCACCCACTGGATATGAGACTGGGGGCATGAAACATTGGCACCCTTATGCCAAACCGCACGCATCACATCACAGAAGACAGTAGTTTCAACACTAACTGCCATGGCAACCTCAAACCTCGTACTGCGCTCTGTAGTTCTGTTTTTGTTATTTAACAAAACTGTCAATGTCTAGACCACATAGCGTCAAGTGGCAGAAAAATTTACATACAAATTGGAAATGATCATGACCTAATCTTGGAACTTTCCCAGGATTTTCCTGGAGGGCCTGAAGAAAGCCACAAATAATCTCAGTCAGGGTAAAGGGGGTCCTATCCAAGATTCAAGATGAACACCTCCCAATATGAGTTAGACTACATTGCTCTCTTGCTCTTGTTGTGTCCTGCATTCTAACAATAATCTTCTCACTTGAACAAGGAGGTACACTGCCAGACAGGATGATAGCTTCCTGCATTCCGAGGGGTTCAACATCGATATGATAGAAGCCTCTGGTATTCCTTTTGAGTTGCTAGGTAAATGTTACTGAAACTTTTGGCAACTGCAGACCACTACATGTGTGGGTGGCCCATACATTGACCACTCGGTTGTCACAACATTCCCCTCACTCATAAAGAGCGTGTAACTGTGCTTTTTTCTGCGAATACAAGAAAAATTACAGTTACAGTTGCCAGAAACAACTTTTTCTATGCACATATTTAACACAACTTTCTTATAAACAAATTGATCACAATTTGTTAATTTAAATTATTTTATTTATTAATTACATATCATACTACGTGAAGTATATAATATTGTAGACCATCTGGTGGAAGGCCAATGACCACAGTTTGAGAAACACTGTGCTATGTAATGACATTTGGAAGCTTACACATCCCTTAGCATACCAAAGCATTCAGGTATGCTTTTTCACAATTCATCATCTAGTTAACCAGTTAGTGGCAATGCATACACAAGTTTGAATTTTCCATAGTTCAGGCTGTTATCGCTGATTTCTCACCATGAAAACTTCGGTTCAATCCCAGGGAAATCCATTTGTGATTTATGGTGGAAAAGTGGCACTGCGGTAGGTTTTTCTCTGAACACCAAGTCTTTCTCCTGTCAGTTATTATTTATTCTCATCCATCATCAAGGGCTGGTACAGTGGGCCCACTTGAGGCTACAGTACCAGGGGACTTCTGTCACCCCACTCCTACAAAAACTGTACATGATGTTAACTTCATACCTTTGTTGGAAAAGGTAACGGACCATCAGGCACCTCGCTCATAGAGTACAATTTAGAGGCATCTCGACGCTTGCGGGAGGTGATGACACCCAGAAGATTATTGCTCTTGGAGAGGTTAATCAACGCACTCTGTAAGGAACAATGACAACCAGTCCATATATAGTGATTCTGCCATATTACAGAAGGTAAACATTTGCACTCACGCGGTTGCCAGCTCATCAGTTTGCCCTTAACCACATCCATAATGAGAGAATTTACGAAATACAGACACCTGACAGTGTACATTATTTACTTATTTACTTACTTTCCACTTTTTCCATGCATTGGTTCTCATGCACTTGATTTTTGTTGGCTAGGTTTGTAGCATAAATTCTACCTCCCTTTCCATCCTAGTTCCACGTATGTATGTGTCTCCCCCACATCTGAGGACGGAAACAGATCCAGCTTCCAAAACGTTGCGTTTTCTAGTTTCTAGAACACCAAACCATGGACAAAGTCCAAAAGCCCAAGGACGCGCCATAGCTCAAGCGGTTAGTCGCTGGCTTCCCACCGTGGTGGCCCGGGTCTGGTCAAGTGGGATTTCTGGTGGATAAAGTGGCGCTGGGGCGGGTTTTCTCCAAATACTTCCATTTCCCCTGCCAATCTTCATTCCACCAAAATTCTCCATCATCACAATCACGCTAGGCAGGCTACAATAGGCCAAGCAGTGGCCACCGTGCTGAGTGGACCCAGCTGGACT